AAAAACAAAAACAAACAAACAAAAGACAACATCTCACTATGCAGGCCTTGATGGCATGGGACATCCTATGTTAGGCCAGGCTGGCTTCACACTTGAACAGAACTGCCTGCCTTTGCCTCTAGAGTTCTGAGCTGTAAGGTGTACACCACTATGCCTGACAAGTAAAATCTCTAGATGTTTGGGACCACACACCCTTGTGACAGTCTTCTGAGCAAAATCATTCCAATTGGTATTTTAAACACTAGACTGACTCAAACTCTACCAGCTTAGTAGGTCTCCCAAGAAGAGGCAAAGGACCTGATGAAAAGTGTAAGCAGGCAAACAAACTCAGACACCAGCATCTTCCTGAAAGCAAGGGGTACCATGAATGTCCTCATTCTTTCCATGAAATAAGGCTCCGAAACTCCCCAGGCATGCAAAGCATGGAAGTGAGCATCTGGGGCAGCTCCCTGCTGGAGGCCAGCGCCACTTAACTGAGCAAAAGACCTTGAGCCCTTAAGTGCCATGACCTAGACACACTCAGCTGTATTTTTAGCCTCCTGTACGATGTTTCCATCACCTGTGCTGGGCTTTTAGCTTCAGAGAAGGTGGGGGTGGGGAAGGCCAGAGGGACGTTTCTTTCTCACTGCAGCCCTGTGGCAGGAGCTCACAGGCTGAATCACACACACACACACACACACACACACACACACACACACACACACACACACGTCACTTTCACGTCACCTGTGTAGTGACAAAGATCCAGAGTGCTTAGAAAAGCCACAACCTTTTTGGGGATGGGGGTTCGAAAGAGGGTTTCTCTACGTAGCCCTGGCTGTCCTGGAACTAGCTCTGTAGTCCAGGCTGGCCTTGAACTCAAAGATTCACCTGCTTCTGCCTCCTGAGTGCTGGGGTTAAAGGTGTGCGCCACCACCACAGGGCTTTGAAACCTTTTTTTTTTTTTTGGTTTTACGAGACAGGGTTTCTCTGTATTGTTTCAGAGGCTATCGGTCCAGCCTGGCCTGGAACGCACAGAGATCCGCCTGCCTCTGCCTCCCAAGTGCTGAGATTAAAGGCGTGCGCCACCACCGCCCGGCTGAAACCATTTTTTAATGTCCTGCTGTCATCATCTTGAAATTCTTCTGTTATGTTTGAGACAGGCTCTCACTATTTGCCACTGAACACCCAACAATCCCTCTACCTCAGTAAGTCTGAACATAGGACCTCATATTTAGGGTTTCTCTTTGTAGCCCTGGCTGTCCTGGAACTCAGTCTGTAGATCAAGCTGGCCTCCTGAGTGCTGGGATTAGAGGCGGGCACACGCCACCATACCCAGCTAGGACCCTGCATTTTCCATACAAAGTGTAGAGATCATTTTTATTGTACCAAAGTCTAATGAGAAGTGGTGCAAAGGCAACTTTCTATACAGAGGATGGGCATAGTGGTCCAAAGCTATTATCACAAAGCCTGGACACCCTGGGTTGGCCAAAATAACCTTGTTTTGAATCTCCTGTGTGCTGGCCCCCTTCCTATTTTTTTCTCTCCAGCATCCCAGCTGATCAATGCAGTGTTTTGGGTGGAACCCAAGGACTCACTCACCTTAGGCAAGTGCCGTCTCTCCCCCAGCGGACGGCTTCCCAGCCCCAAGTGTGGCAGAGGACTGCCTTCTTTCAACAAATATTTAGGGTTAGGGTTGGAGACGTGACTCAACGGAGTACAGGCTTAACAAACCATTTTGTTTGTTTCTCTATAGTACTCGGGGTGTCTGAAATACCCACAGATGCTCACGTGCTCTAAACTTGGGCTGTCGGTGGCTTTGTCCTCAGCACTTCCCGTGGTCCTCACTGTGCATCTTTGTTTTGAGACAGACTGTCCTACAGCCCAGGCTGAGGATGACCTTGAAGCCTCTTGGTTCTCCTGCCTCTGCCTCTCCAAAGCTGAGATGGCAGGCGTGTGTGCCACCCACCTTGTTTATTTGGTGCTGGAGGTTGGACTCAGGTCTTTGTGCATGTTAGGTGAGCACTCTACTGAGCTACATTCCCATCCCATTATTTGTTGAAGGGGGACAGGCTCGCTTCAACGGAGAGTCTGCACCAGCGTCACCTGTTCACTTTCTTCGTCTTTGGTGGTAATTCTGCTCCTAGGGGTGAAAGCCAAGAGCATAGAGACCTCAGGTCTTTCTGCTTCCTTCCTTCCTTCCTTCCTTCCTTCCTTCCTTCCTTCCTTCCTTCCTTCCCTCCTTCCTTCCTTCCTTCTTTCCGTCCTTCCTTCCTTCCTTCTTTCCTTCCTTCCTTCCTTCCTTCCTTCCTTCCTTCCTTCCTTCCTTCCTTCCTTCCTTCCTTCCTTCCTTCCTTTCTTCCTACACAGGGTTTCTCCGTGTAGTTTTGTAGACCAGGCTGGCCTCGGACTCACAGAGATCCACCTGCCTCTGCCTCCCTGTGCTGGGATTAAAGGCGTGCGCCACCACTGCCAGGCAGGTCTTGCTGGAGGAATGAAAAGGCTGGGGTTTGTGTTGCTTTCCCTGAGGAGGCATGAACAAACACCCTGCCCTAAATTTAGCACCAACAGCAGACAATAGAGACTCCACCCAAGCCCAGTTTTGTGAACCGATGAATTAATTTATTGGGCTTTCCTACAGGAACTTGGGGGACTCAAAAGCAGGCATCTCACTAAAAAAAAAAAAAAAAAAAAAAGAGTCTTTCCTCCTACCTAGAGGAGCAGCCTCTGAGGAGCAGCCCTGTGGAACGCTGCCTTCAGCCTGCCTTCCACCACCGTGTGCCCTCTCATCTTCCAGGATCACAAGTGCCTGGGACAGGTGAGGATCCTGTGACACTCACTCCCTTCCTCTAGAGCGGGTGTTAGCAGCCGGCCGTGGTTGCCACAGACTAAGCGATAATCTTACTGCCCTTTCCTTTTGCCACTATGGGCAACAGCGCTCTCTGCTCGGAAACGACCAATACTCACGATTCTTGTTAGGCCCCGAGTAAAAAAGCTTATACAACAGTCCCACGCGTGGGACATGGAGGCTGTGTCCTCGCTAGCAGGTGGAGGGTGTGTCCCCCGGGGTGGTGGGGGCGTCCACTCAGGAGCACCGAGGATTCTTGAATTCGGGAACGACAGGGAAAACAAACAGTTGAACAAGATTCTTCTTGCCACAGCTCTGGGTCATGTGGGTGGAGAGGGACAGAAAGGCAGGCGCCTCGTGGGAGGTAGCTGCGCCCTCGGGGCCGGCTCTGGGAGCTACCTCCTGAGTGTGTAAGGCAGGCAGGGCGCAGGCCCCGCGAGAGGGCGAGGGGCACAGGGGTGGGCGGACCCCTGCAGGCCAGGGGATCCCGCGGGGGCCAAGACCGCTCAGCCCTGCCTCAGGGCACAGCGCGAGTCTGCACAGGAGGGCAGATGTTCCCGCTGCCTAGCAGGGCGCAGGCCCGCACTTGCCAGCCCGGGACCAAGGACTTGAAAGCTCCCAGCGCGCAGCCCGGACCTGTCCCGCCGGGCGGGCGTCACCGTGGCGTTTTAGGAGAGAGCAATAGGAAAATCCCCACTGCCTCGGGGTGTGAAGAGGAGGAAGGAGATTCGAGATACGGGGAAAGAAGGCCCTGCCTCGCGCAGGCCGAGAGTTTAAGCCACCAGCTCTCTGGGACCCCAGTCTCCCTTCTGCAGGAGACACAGAGCCTGCCTGGTGGAGTTGAGCTCTTCAGTTGCTTGAACCTCGAGGTCTTTTATTGTTCCTATTTTGCCGATGGGTTGAGCAAAATACAATATATGTATAGTGTCATCCACTTCTTGCTAATTAAAAATAATTTGACTGGGAGTGGGGGCGCACACCTTTAACCCAGCACCTGGGAGGCATCGGCGGAAAGATCTCTGACTTCGAGGCCAGCCTGATCTACAGAGTTCCAAGCCAGCTAGGAGTGCATAGTGAGACCCCGACTTAATCAAAATAGTGATAAAACAACAACAACAATAGTACTATGAAACCGGTACCATGGCTCAGCAAGTAAAGGCAATTTTACCAAGTCTGAGGACCTGAGCTCGATTTCCAGGACCCACATGGTACAAAGAGAACCTACTCCCTCAATTGGTCCTCTGACCTCACCTGTGCACCACGCACATACACATACATAAACAAAATAATGCTTATGTGTGTATGTATATTTTACCCTCTGTGTAACAGCCCTGGATGTCCTGGAACTCGCTTTGTAGACCAGGCTGGCCTCTAACTCAGAGATCCACCTGCCTCTGCCTCCTGGGAGCTGAGATTAAAGTCAGGTGCCACCACCAGCCGGCTATAAATAAAACGTTTTAAAAGAACATTACGTTGCCCTGCTTGACCCAGTATGTGATGGGACTGTATACAAGGCTCAGGATGCTGTCCCTTTACGAGCTGCAGCACTTGGCAAGGAGAAAGAATTCCACGTTTACTGAGCTCCTGCTGTGCGTGAGTGGTTTCCATGCGTCATCTCACTCTGTACAGCCGCCTTGTGGAGCAGATGGTGTCGACATTCCACTTAGCAGAAGGGAGCCCTGCGACCAAGTGGGATACGAATTTGGTTAAGAACTCCAAAGCAAGCTTTGGCTAACCACGACCATGCTCTGGTTACTACCGCAGCGGCGGAGCCCGCGCGTGGGCCACGACTCAGGTAAGAGTGGAGCTGGGGTCACTGGGCGCCCGGCCTGGGTCAACCCCGCCAACCCTCAGCGCGGGGACTCGGAGGCAGGGCGGGGGCGGGGGCGGTGAGCGGGGTCCCGCCCTCACCTGTGGACGCCACACCTCCAGTGGCCACGCCTAGCGGCCCGTAGGGGCGGGGCCGGGGCGGGCGGGGGCGGGCTCAGGGGCGTGAGTGGCAGGCGGCGGGGAGGGAAGCGCATGCGCAGTCGGACCCGATCTGGAGCCTCGCAGGAGACGGGCGGCGGGGCGGTGCTGAGGAGGGCGGGCCGGGGCGGGTCGCCCAGCCGGCCTGGGCGGGGCGACGCCGAGCTCCGTCCTGCTCCCATGGCCGCCCCCGGCTCCCGGTGCTGCCCCCCTCTGCCCCGGGCCGCGCCCGGGGGTCCCGCACTGACGGCCCATGGCGCCGCCCGCCGCCCGCCTCGCGCTGCTCTCCGCCGCCGCGCTCACCCTGGCGGCCCGGCCCGCGCCCGGCCCCCTCCCCGGCCCCGGTGAGTGAGACCCCGGCCCCCCCACGCCCGCTCTCCCAGCCTCGCGCGTGGACCCGGCGGAACGCGACGCCTGGGCTCCTGTCCCGGCACGCGGCGTGGACGCTCGCGCTCCGTTCCCAGGACTCTGTCCCGCACGCCGGCTTCGAACTTCCCGGGGACTCAGTTCACAGCTTACGGGAGGGGAGGAGGGGAGGGGAGGGGAGGGGTGCGTGCCGTCCGAGGTCGCCCGTGCCGAGTGCAGACTACGCCGAGCCCCGCGTCCTGCTTCCCAGGCCGAGTCCGCCGCGCGGTCCCCCGCCCCGAGGTGGTGCCCTCAGCCGGGGCAGAAGCCGGGACTCTGCTTAGTTTCCGCACGCCCTTCCTTGCCGCAGAGCCCCTTCTCGGGTGGAAGATGAGGTGTGAGGATGTTGTCTGGCCCAGTTCAGTTTGCGGGTGGTTGGGTGCAGAGCATACGCTGGTGAACCTGCCGCTGGGTCTCCACCCTGAGCCTCAGATTGTGATGTTGCAAAGACAAGGTTTTGTTGGTGAAAGAAAACTCCGAGTTGCTTTGTTTTCTTGCCAACTTGTATTAGAGAAAAGGCTGAGACTTATTTTCTGTGTGACTTTTAAGCCTAACTTTGAGCTCTGTGAACCTCGGTTACTAGATCTGTAAAAGGGAGTATGGTGGTAACTCACTCCCGTGCAGAGAGTTGGTGAACACTGAATGATAGATACACTGTAAGCAGCGTGCGTGGAGTGTACCACCCTATACAAAGGCTGTCAGTAAACATTTAAATAACCCTTTTTATAGTGTTTCCCAGCTCTCTAGAGACTAGACACCTGGTTTACCCTGGGAATACTTTGAGTTTCTGATATGATGAATCCTGACAAAAGGGCAGAATGAAGGGTTCCCAACAACCCAGACCTGAGGCTCAGTAGAAGTGGTTTCTAGGTGATAGTTGCCTTCTGTGGGACTTCTATGATTTGCCCACTTCTCCTGTTTGTAGTGTGTGAGCAAGGAGGGGGGGACGTTCCTAGAGCCAGGACGTGTCAACATAACTGTAACCTAGTAACCCCTTAGCTCCACTTTGTCATCTCTGTTCAGAATTTGATGTACTCTAAGGGGAGAGACGTTCGGGTGGAAATAAGCCAGTCTCCCTTCTGGAAAAGGCACAGAAATAGAGCTCCGAAAAGGTTGTGAACCAGTTCTGCCCGTGCTTGCTGGGAGGCGGCATGTGCTAGGCACCTTTGCCTTGCTAGGGCTGATGCAGCTGCTCTTGGGTAAAGTCGGTATGCTTTTATTTAGGAGTCTTGGGTATGGACAAATACAAGGCTGTTGTGAAACAGTCTGTGCTAAGTAATTCAAACTCTCATCAGCCCGGTTTCTTAGCTACGTCAGTGCTTTTGTGACATTTCCCCTCTGGTTCCAGAAGCAGTTTCAGAGACATACCACATGGTTTTTCAGCATCACATCAAGAGCCTAGTCACTAGTTTGTTAAATCCTTTCCAATTAAAAAAATGCTGTACACTGAGAATATGCCAAACTTACCATTTCATATTTTGTGATATTGTAATTTTCTCTAAAATTTTGTGGATGGAAAAAATTATTCCAATACTTATATTCTGTACCACTTTGTAATATTTAAATTACTGGTGGTTCACATTTTTGAATGCTGACTTTATGAAAACAGTTAGCTCATTCCCCTTCAGTGTTATTCTAATTATAGTGTGTAGCCAACCCCAAATGATCTCCTGTCTCTCCATTCTTCTTTTGACATGCTTTCTCTTCTTTCACTACTGATAAGAAGGAAGACAGAGGTTAGTGGTAGAGTCTTCTCCAGCCTCTCACCATCCTCCCCTGCCTTCTCATCTGTAACATGTCCTAGCAGCAAATAGTATGTAGTGCTATAAAATCTGGGTTTGGTTACCTGCAGGGTCTTCACACTCTATAGCATATAGTCTCTTGGCTCATAGGCAAATAACTTAGATGTTTAAGATAGCAGTGAGTTCTTTTATAAATCTTTCTTCCTTTCTTTCTTTTTCTGAGACAGAGTTTCTCTATGTAGCCTTGGCTGTCCTAGGACTCACTCTGTAGACCAGGTTGGCCTCAAACTCTGAGATCCCCCTGCCTGTGCCTCCTGAGTGCTGGGTTAAGGGTGTGCACCACAATGCCCAGCCCTTTTATAAATCTTAAAGCAACAAAGTATTGCCTATAGGTTCACTGCTAATCAACACAAGTTGGCGTTCTCAATATGGTTATTAATATGCTCAGAGTTTAGTGTAGGTGGACCAAAAGCAAAACGATAAAGGCAAACTTACCCAAATTGGGAATTTTGGTAGTAGGCAGTATACCATCTTTAGTTTAGAATCTAAAAACTTTAAAGTGTTATTTTTTGGCAGTTTTGAACATGGGGACATAATGTTCTGAATGGGGAGGTCAGAGTACTTTTAGGAGTCATTCTTTCTGTCTACCCTGGGTGTTCCAGAGATGGAATTCAGATTGCCAGGCTTAATTCAAACACCTTTACCTTCTGAGCCATCTTGATGGCCTCTAGTTTAGAATTTTTGAGCCTGGAACTCTACCTGAGGCTCCTGACCAAGACAAAACAGTAAGTGATTTGTGCTTTGAGGGCCATAGACAGGCACAGTTGCAAACACTTACCTCCAACTGTGTAGGCCAAAGTAGTCATAGACAAAATGAACTGGCATTGCTATTTTTTTTTTTTTTTTTGGTTTTTACGAGACAGGGTTTCTCTGTATTGTTTCGGAGGCTATCGGTCCAGCCTGGCCTCGAACGCACAAAGATCCGCCTGCCTCTGCCTCCCGAGTGCTGGGATTAAAGGCGTGCGCCACCACTGCCCGGCTTGGCATTGCTATTTTTGTTTTTGTTTTTATTTTTGTTTTCTAAGACAGGACCTCACTATGTAGATCTGGCTGTTGATACTATATAGACCAGGCTGGCCTTGAACTCACAGATAGCTGCCTGCCTCTGCCTCCCAAAGGTGAGAACAAAGGTGTGCACCACCACACCTGAATGCTTTGCTGTGTTCTAGTAAAATTCTTTGGACATTGAAATTTGTATCTCTATAAATCGTATTTGCATGTTATAGTATATTGTAATTAAAAACTTACATAACTAATGGTAAGTTAGTTTATGGGTCACAATTTGGCTCACAGGCTATACTTGTATAGGTCCGTGTGAACCAACTTTTACATGTTTATTGATCTGGAAAAAGCAGCAAAGAGGTTGCTTTTAGTGAATGGATGAACCTCTTACCATTTACTGTGAATTAACTTTTACAAACATATAGGAGTTGGGCATAGTGATGATGCAGCTGTACTCCCAGGTATTTGGGGAGTTGGGGTAAGAGAGTAGTTTGAGGCTAGCAGCCTGCCTGTGCAGTGTAGTAAGCCCCCCAATAAGCAAGGAGGAAATGCTAGCTAAAATGGTAAATTCCATATTTTACCATGATTTAAAAAAAAAAGATACAACTGGGAAAAGCTTATATACATATATTTCAATCATTAATAACTGGATATTTAGTGTGATTCAGTGCACTGCTTAAGGAAATAATTGCTACCTCAGAACCGACCCCTGGTTTGTTCAGTCAGCCATGCCGGCAGATGTTGCTTGAGACAAACTGTTGAGAGATTTTCTGTTTTGCAGAGGAAAGCCAGGCAGCAGGTGGCACCAGCCCTGAGACCTAGAGAAACAGCCAAGGGGTGGGGGTGGGGCGGAGACCAAATTCCTGTCACTTCCTACGCTATTGGGTTTTACTTCCACACTTCGGTTGTAGCCTTAAAACAACACTGTGCTTTGAATATCTGTTTCTTTTTAATTAAAGAATTCTGAAAAAAGCAAAGTGAAACACTGAGGCATAGCAAGCTGTTTGTGTTTGTACTTATGGGCAGCTAATGGGAAGTGCTTGGGAGAGACCAGAAGTTGGTGTCTGTAGCTTCTATCTGAGGTTTTATCTCCCGAATAAGGCCGCATCAGGGATGGCGCTTCCCACAGCACCCGCTGCACAGGTTTAGAGGGGAGAGCTCTTCTTCCGTCTCCGTTTGGCAGATGCACACCTGACTGACTCAGGGTGCAGCCTCTGCATGGGTGAGAGGGATGACTGGCCTTGCTTCCGTGCTGTTTGACCTTGACATTTGCTCTAGAACCCGGAAGTATTCTTTTAGGTAGAGGGGGCACTGAGGCCCAACAATTTCCCCCCTTTCTTGTTGTCAGTCTTCCTCCCAAGATTCTGTCTTTCCCCTCAACCGTAGCCTCTTAAGACAGACCGTCTGTACTCAGCCAGAACAGGGACAGGCGAGGGGCCATTGTAGAGTGTCATTCTGCAGAAGTTTGCCTTGACCTCCAAGGAAACCTCTTTCTCCTGTTCTGGCCTCCTTGTAGAAAAGTACCTCCTTAGGCTGCCCTTGTACCTGCTTGAAGAGGAATGAAGCTGAGGGCACTTTATACGCTGGCCATCCTACAGGCAGAGTTTGCAGTGTCCCTTTTATGCCTGCAGTAGGGTCCTCTGGGGGCTTCTCCCCTGCTAGGGCCAGCTTCCAGTTTCTCCTGCCACAGTTTAATCCCTGGCACACAACCAAAGCATTAAACTTTTATTGTCCAATTTACCACAAGGGTGAGGCCCTGTTCCTAGTGGGCTGAGGAGGCTGTGGCCGCTTCCAAAACCCGAGTGTCATACCACATTAGTGACTGCAGACTGAGGGCTGGATTGCTTTTAGTTTGGTTAGATTCTTGGTCAGAACCAGAAAAGTATACTCACACTCAGAGCTTTAAAGCCAGGAAAGAGTAAAAACAGCATAGGCCGTTTTTAAAGATGATTCATAATGGTGGTTGCCATCAGCCTGCATGAGGACCCTGCGTGGTTTCTTTTTATCCTCAGAGTAGATACATTATGGTGTTTGTAGCTTTCTTAGTATCCAAAATCAAATAACAACATGGCAGCCAAGCAGCTCTCTTCTGGAATAGTAGGCATTGCTAGCCAATCCCATCATAGTATGTAAAT